CTTTCCTTTACAAATGAAAGAGTAACAATTATATGTAATAAATAAAAAATGGAAACTTTAAAAGATCATAAAAAGAAAGAACTATTTAAAAGATCATAAAAAGAAAGATCGCTGTTAATAATTTTTGATAATGTCAAGATTGATTTTACGTGAAGCAAACTTGAATGATTTGCGAAAGAATTTAACTTTAGAAATTTATATTTATCTCTTGGGATATATTTTATCCCATTTATTATACATATATATTTATAAACAATAAAAATAATAGTAAAAAATTTTTTACATTTTTGCAAACAATCGAAATTTCACAGTATTTTATTACATGTTTTATCACTTACACTCGCGATTTGAAAATTGTTCAATATTTTTCCTCTTTCTCAAATAAATCTAAATTTATTAATGCTGTCATATATTTACACATAAAAGCAATTAAACGAACATGAGGAAAATTGAAGAATAATACCTATTCTTTTAATGTGATCTTGACAAAACGGAACTATTGCAATTCAATTCTAATCACCGTAGTTGCCTATATTCTATCTATATCTTGATGATAAAAATAATCATCTCAATCACATTTTTCTTATCTTAAATATCACAAAAATTTCAAGAAAAAAATTTACAAGATCGTCGCCTTATTGTAATCTCTCTTCCTGTCCAGTAATCAGTCAGCATTAAATTAGAGAAGCTGTAGGTTACAACAAAGATAACGGTTTGTGTTATCACATAGAATAAGTTAATCTAATATAATCGCGGTAATCGATGATAATATCGTCATTTTCGTTCGTCCGGCTTGGCGGAAAAACTTTGTAAATAAGCACGAACAAAAAATACATCTGTAAATTATCGCGTTTAACGGAAGTGAAATAAGTAAAGCTATATAAGAAATATTGCCGCACACGTTACATTAATTTACTACTGATGTGAGATTCTGTTTACGTCAAATATGTAAGATTTACTACAAAATAATTTTAAAACCGTGCATCTCTCTGTCTTTCTTTTGTATATACGATCTAATATTAATACATTAATTAATGCAAATTGGTAATTACTGCTATTGCTAGCATAAACGCCGATAATAAACTGTGTTCTCCAGAAATAACGCAGTTTAATTGCAATACAAATAAGTGAAAATGTTGTTGAGTATTTTGCTTTTCTCAATGTATTTTCTTAAGATTGTTGATCGCAGACGCCTGTCGTTTAATTTGCTTGTGTCTGTTTCTGCCTGATAAATTGCGCGAAAAAAATGTGCTCCTTTATGGACAAAAAGATCACTGTGTTTATAACGAGAATTGGCGATTGGATTTGCAATTATACTCCGTATTACGCAGAATATAAAATGTTCTTTAACTCTTAACTAGCTAAAACGTGTGTTTTTTTTAATTAATGCTGGCGCGAAATGTATATTATGATATATCGAATATCAAGATATGAAAAAAGATATATATATATATATATATATATATATATATATATATATATATACACATATATGTCAGTCATTGACGAAACATCATAGCGATGGGACATGTTTCTCTTTTAACTATTAATTTTAAATAAGATTGGTTTTATGTTGCGTTAATCTCATTTTAATTGATGTAATTCTCACTTGATAAGGACCACAACCAAATGGTCGAAACGTCGTGAAAGTATTGAATAAAATTGCTTACGTCGAAATCAATTTTGCCAAGTTTATATATGTATATCTTATGTGTATGTGTATGAATATATACATATATATACACATATGTAGATATACATAAAAATGTTTTCTCTGTTTTAACATTTCTAAATATATTTGATATATTCAATAATAACTTCTGCAATAGTACTGTCTAAATAAATGAAAACTGTGCGGAGAATATCATATCAACCGTTAGTGATTTTAATCCTCATCCGGCGAGAATAATTTAATAATATGAATGCCGAAGAAATGGATTAATTTTGATCCAATATACTTTTTACGTCTTTTAATGTTCGCAAATAAAAACTATCCTATTCTTTGATAACATTTATTTGAGTGTTGATTAAAATTTAAACAGAAATAAATAAGAAAGAGATTCTAACCAATTTCGGAACATCGAGACACATTTTTACCTAATTTTAAAGAAATGTGTGTCGAGTCAAAGTTTTCGTCCGAGATGAAGAAAATGCATCTTTTCACTGAAGCTTGCGAAACTTACTGTTTAACGAGATTTCGAGTACAATGCATTTTCTTCTAATTTTTTTCTCTTTGATGTATCCTCTCTGATTCATCTTTTTGTTTAACAACATCAGAAAAAAATTGCGTTTCAAAATACTATGTAAAATGCAATCGCAGCGCGATGCCACGACAAACAATTTTAATACATGCATACAACTTTCTGTGGCAAATATGTTTTCAAGTGTCCTTCCAAACATTATGAACGTGGTTCTACGATATTTTCAGATCTAGGCGAGCTTACACAATTGTACATTCTGAGCTTTGGTCCATCCATAAATTGTAGAATTGATAGATGCAATCGGTACACAAGTCGAAATGTGCGCAAAAATGTACGATATAATAAATATATACATGTTAAAATGCGATGAAACTGTTTATGGATGATGCGAACATATGGATAGACCAGACGCGTCACACACTTTATTGTATACATGCGTAATACACATATATATACATACATAAACGTATATAATTTTATATGAGTATGTATGTATATAAATGCATAAATAGAAACGCAAAAATGCGCATATATAGATAAGTGCTGATAATATTTTTTTTCATGGATTGTGCGATATCCAATCTGTCAAATATTGTATATTTGCGGCGGCATTACCTATGTAATTATATATAAATATAAATATAAATATATATAATAATTATTATTATTATTGAATATTAGCAAAAGTTGAATATATCATATCTATTATTCTCTTGAAGTCTTTTCGTTATCTTATCAAGTCCCGTTTCCCGTTCTTTCTTTTAGGTATTTCCCATATTATATAATTTAGTAACAAAAAGTAATATTAGGAATAAAAAACTAATATTAGAAAATTTATTCCTAATATTAATCTAAAATAAAACTAATATTAGGAAATTTATTCCTAATATTAGAAATAAATAAAACTAATATTAGCAATTAATAAAACTAACATTAGGAATGAGTAAAACTAATATATTAGGAAATTTATTCCTATTAGAAACATGTACTCAATAAAATTTTTTATTGCGGCGAAAACAAAAAAAAATAATTATCTCAGTGTTGAATTTTCCAAGTTAAGTAATTAATTAATATAGTAAGTAAAACAATTTATTCATGATTTTAATTTTGCGAAATATTTGTATTTCATCCACATCGAGCCATATTAGACTCTTTTCTCTTATTATTATTTTTCTATAAGGAAACTCACGATCACTTGCGTCTGAAGATAAAGTAGAAATCACCAAAAGTATATAAATTACTAATTATATGAGATATGTAAAACATAGATACAAAAGTACAACAAATAAAAATTAGGGAATGTAAAAATTTTATCATAGGAACAAAAAAATATAGAACAACATTTAAAAAATATTTTACTTATTATGATAAGATAATCGCTATTTAGGATGTAGAAGTATAGTAGTCATACTTTTGCAAATTTTATAATATATTTACAGAATTATATAAAAAATTCTTTTTATTATAATGTTCTATAGAATTTTCTGAGTTTATTGATTAATATTCTTGTAAATTATTTCGACATTGTATTGTGCATACATTTATTTCGGTTCGTTGAAATGTAACAATAAAAAATGTCATCAAGCGATCATTCGACGTTTAAATGCGATTGACAAACGCATCGACAGAGCGAGAAAAGACGTTCACGAGATAGTTGTGCATTTCTTGCGTCTAACATCCGGTTAACCGCTTGTCGCGAGATCTCTGTCCTCTCTTCTTTATCTCTCATCCTTCCGCTCAACGAATCGTCCTTCTTCTCGCAGGGTTCTTGCACTCTCGCCCATTCCGAATCGAATTTTTCGTTTTCGCCGCAGCTGTCGACGATGGACAAGAAGTCTGGACCAGCTGGTGTACATGTCGAGCGGGATAGTAGCAAGTCACAGCAAAACGTATTCAGAACGATGGGATTCGCGATATGGGATTAATATCGAATATTTTTCGAGATGCGAGTTTATTGTTTATTAGTTTTTAGATATTTTGTTTTTTGTTTATATAGTGTTAACGCTTTATCTCTTATTCGCATATTAAAAGATTTTGTTATGTTAATTGTGGATACAATAAATTACCAGACATTATTTTCATTATATATTCTTTGATTAAACCATTGCTCATTTTTAATGAAAGCATGGGATTTTTAAATTTCTCTTTAAATCGATCAATTGAAGAGTATATTGATTTTTGCTTTTGTCATCTCTGTCAAAAAATTTACTATGCTAAAAATAAATGTCTTAAGAAAGGAGACCTTTTGTTGAAGAAAAGTCAAGACTGATTAGCCAAGAAATCTGTAACAAAAGAGAGAGAAAGAGAGAGAGAGAGAGAGAGAGAGAGAGAGAGAAAGAGAAATACCCAATACTTTAGAAATGTCTTAATTTTGTTGATTAAACGCGTGTACGCGTATTAAGACACTCGGCAAATGCAGACTTGTGGTTTATCTCGTTGTCAGTCCGCGAAGGGGCAACCGGTTTTCCTTTGATTAGAACTCTTCTGCCGAGAATGATGATTTCCGGTGGCGTCTCTTTTTTATCTCCTACGCTGGAACGGTCGCGGTCTGCCTAGAAACAATCGGGTATTCCGTCTGCATTGTGCAAGGTGGATCGCAGCGAGACGAGAAAGAAGGAGAACGTTTTGCGCGAACGCGCCGATCGCGTCGCGGTTCATTCATGAAGTCGTTCTTGCGCGAAATCGTGATGCATTCGATGAACGAACGGGCCGCGCTTAACCCGCATCGGACAAAAGGCAACGAACGAACGGGAATGTCGTTAAGGGGGTTTAATTATATCAATTCCGTAATCGCTCGTATCAATTGGACGGCTCTTTTATTGAGAGACAAGCTGAGCATTAATTTTTCAATTTGCGACAAAGCAAAGCAGATTCTGGCAGGCAGATACAAGCGAGACGAATTGCAATTTTTCGCTAACGAACTTGTCCATAGACCACCGCGAACTCGTCTTCCTTCGTTTCCTTGAAAGGTTTCTCTGAAAACGATAGAGATCTTGTTCATTTATTTCACGCCTTGCGCACTTAAATTCTTTACACAGAAAATTAGAATCTCAATCTTGCCTGTATTACACTTTAAATTTATATTTAGAATCTCAATTTTATCTTTTTTCAGTCTGAATTATTTCGATCAATAAAGAAAATTGGTAAAATTCTCGATCCACAAAATTTCGATTAATAAAGAAAACTGGTTAATTTTTTTTATTAAAATATTAAAATATATGATATTTTCAAATTTAAAATACTGTGAGATGTTATAAGGAAAACCTTTGTAGATATTGTGACATTATTAATAGAGACTGCATGACACTATCTAAAAAAAGGATATATAATCATGTCACATATATACGACAAATATAAATTTTATTTTTCTCCAGAAAAAATTAGAAATTTTTAAAATATTATAATTAAATTATTAATATACAGTAGAAGCTCGGACTTACGTGAGCGCTGCATTTAAATAACTTTGCTCCCCCTAAGATTATTAACGTCTTCTCCGAAGAGCGTCTTCGCGATTTTAGCATTACACACGTAGTTCTCCTGTCTTTTCCGGATTCGAGATGGCAACCAGTTTGCCGGGCGCTCGATGGTTAACAACATCGTCTTTTTTCATCGAAGCATATGCTGAGTCTATATTAGGAAACTTGCAGTCACGTGTAAGAAGAGATAGCGCGTAGGCGCATGAAGCAGCGAAAAATCGGAAATTTGACACGATCTCCCTATTTTAATTGTAATGTCATTGAAACAATATAATTGCTCGATATAATTGTTTTCTTCTGAAATGACGTCCGACTATAAAATTTTTCGTTGTATTTGACAATATAATTATTAATTTTTTAAAAATAGATACACAAATAGAAATGGATACAAACAAATTATTTTGAATAAAAAATGCAGATGAGATAAATCGTAAAAATGTATCGTCAGAAAATGTTTATCTAAAATAATATTAAGAAACTTGCGACATCGGACATATTCGTTATAGAGGATTAAGAAGGCTTAAAACGGTTTTACAAATCTGCTCGCGACAAATGTCATCTCTTTATGCGTATATCTTTTTAAATGCAATATATGCATAACGTAAGTTACCTTTCTGCATTCTCTTCCTTTCTCTCTCTCTCTCTCTTTCTCTTTTCCTCTGCAATGGTTTCTCTCTATATTTTCACACTGAAAATAAACGTATTGAATTCGAATAAATATTTATTTCAATACTGCCCAATAAATCATTTATTTAAAACTAATAATATTGATTTGATGTAAAACATATTTATTTGATATAAAAAAATTCTTTTCAAACAAGATAAATATTTATTTGTTTCAAACATAAATAATAATTTATTAAGCAGTATATATTGAAGCAAATATTTATTAATTTAATAACTTGTTTTAGTGCATAAACGCGAACAGGTTACGAGCAGGAGATGTCTCACCCATTTCCTGACAGAAAACCCTTGTCTCGATGGAACGGCAGGATATCTTTCGTCGTATGCGATTATTAAATTTTTGCACTGCACGTTCTAACGCACATCCGTTCCTTCTCAGGCCTCTTCTCGTGCTTGCCAAAATTCCTCTTTTTTTCGGTATGCATCGCGTCGTGCCCATATTAGGAAACCTGTAGCCATTGTATCCGGCTCGCCCAAACGACGAACAACGATGACGACGAAGACAACGACGATTGCTTCTCTCCTGCTCTTTCCTCTCTTCCGCCGTTTTTCATCTTTTCCCTATTGATGACATTTATTGCAAAAAGTCCGCAAAACGATCTTGATTGTACGAATTTGTTTCGACTTTATTTTTCGAGTTTACAATTTGAAAATTGTAGATCTTTAAAAATAATCTCGAAAAATAAATTTACATAGCCTGTAATATTGAATTTTTAACTGTCGATCTCGTGCGACATATTAATGCGTATGCATACCTGCAAATGTGTGTATATGCTCGTGTGCATTGCACAGATACATACGACCGATGATAAAAAGCTTTCAAGGTGAGCCGGGCCACGATATATGAATGACCGTATGCATGAATGGGTGGCTGTACGCACTCTGGAGAGACCAAACCGGTGGGGTATCCGACTAGTGCGTACATACAAGGTGTCTCACAATTGCTTACAAGCTGTGTGCATTCTAAAAATGTTGTTGAAATGTTGCAGCGATTGTTCGAGCAAAATATACGCAAAAGTTCAATCATCGTTAACTATACTTTTGTAAAATCCCTTTACTTTGCTTAATCTTCTTAATATATTCGCTACTTGTAAGAATTTGATCTTGAAGAAGAAATTGATCCGAGAAATTATAGTTTATAGTAACACTAAAGAATTGAAATTAGCCTCTCATTCAGAAATCAGTGGAAAAAAAAATAAAAGGAGATGGGAGACTAAAAAGGATTAAATAATTCGCACAATATTTTTAGTGTTAAAATTATGATGGACAATTATGCGACACCCTGTGTGTAGACCCGTTGAATGTGTGGTCCACGTCTCTCTCTCTCCGCACGTAGCAAACTCGCAGACGTGATTCGCGATCGCAAACATCCCATTGCTAGTGTCGCATCAATGAAGCCGATAGATTGTACTTCGAAGAGTTTAATTAATATTCCTCGTAAGCGGCTTCTTAAAAAAAACTGCAAATTTGGCAAAGAATCGTGAATACAAAATATTTACGAGCATGCAACTCGTTAACGGATACTGTATCTCTGAGATCGCTCATAAATTCATCTTACACATGCTGAATATTATTTTGATGACACAATTAATGCACTCTTCAGAGTTGCATGACTTACGATCTACACAATTTACAGCATTGATTAGAAAAGGAAAAGATTATTTTGATGAGATGGGAAGAGAGATGAATCAAGTCGATCGCATCAATGAAAAAGTATTGTAATCAAACAAATGTTACTTTATGCAAATATACAAGTCTTTCTTTCCAAATACAAAAAGTTCGGAATTAAATCATATAAATAACATACATTAACCCACATAAATATTACATGGGCGCGAAAATTTTTATCTCTCTAAATCAATAAATTTTGTATATGCAATTCGAACGAAAAACTGTCCCAGACTATTTTCGCCGAAATACACTTAACAATACTTTTTAATAGTGCCATCAAAGACACGCGAGGGATTATTAATAAATTCACTGAACATTATATCGATAACAATTCGTTTCATTATTACAGACTATAAGGCTTTATCTCGTTACAGTGAGCATAAGTATAAAATAATTTTACATTTTTTTCGCCGTACGAAAAAAAGGCAATAGCACGATGTAGGACGGTTCTCTCAATTCGCAATTATTCTGTTCAACGTAACATACGCATGACGAGAGATTCGGTTCGACAAAAGATTCGTTCGCATTTTAGACCCAAAAATTGAATATTTGTAAGCGATTAAAAGATTGATGAAAACTTTTAAAAAATTTAAACTTTAAATGTCATAAACACGCAAAAATAATTGCTTATATTTATTCGGAATAATTCATAGAATTCGTAAAATTTTTACGACTAATATAAAATTTATTTTTTTTACATTAATAACAGTTAGAAACGAAACTCATTCAGTCTCAAATTCCTTCAAATAGATCCAATACATGTGCAATAATAATACTTATAATAGGACATCCTCGAATGAACGTCAGATGACATCTAGAGGATAGAAAAAAATTCCAGAATCTCGTAAAATATTCTTATCATCTTTTCGTTGCATTTTAATATACAAATACTTTGCGCTTTTATATCGTTAACAATTGCTGAAATATTTGTTCCAAATCGTGAAATGGATCGACGAAACGAATCAACTGTAATGTCGAGTCAAAATTGTCTCGATGCTGTCATGTAAGCTCGCGCTTCCTTTTTATACCGGTAGTATTAACGCTGCATTAATGTTGCATAACGTTGCTACATGTATATAAATATCCGTCCGATGTAAAAACGAGAAAACATGTTCACAATTTTATAACAAGAGCATATAAATAAGACTAGATTTATCATTAGACGATTCGCTTAGAAAAATATGACGTGGCGACGGTATCATTGCAAGTCTCATTTTCATTCGATACCATCCCAAATGCATCGCAGTCCGATATTAGTCTAAAACACGAATTATCTTCGCGTATTTCCGGTTCCAAGATATGGCGAGCACAAAACTTCACTCTTTGGTTAATCCGTTCTCTATCGCGGATATATGCGGATATACATTTTAGACTGGAATAGATATATATAATATATATAAGTAATCCAATCTCTCTCATCTTTGGCACAAAGCTGTGATCCAATTTGCCCTATCTTCGTGACGCGCATCATGACACGATACTCTATTGTGATCAAATTTATTTTCGTCATAAATAACATGCAACATCTTCGCTTTCTAGTGCACGCGTATAATCGAATATTTTTTATCATTTGGAAATTTTAAATAATAACATATATAACGATTAAATGTGTATAGTTAACTTTCCAATCGTTTCAAATTCAAATTCGAAAAAATATTGATTATAAAGATTTTTCATTACATAATTTCCATCTTTTCCAATATTTCAAAAGAGGCAATATATATTACAAAATTATTTATAAGTTCATCTCTGTAAGATATTTCAGTAATAACTGATAATGTTTGTTTTCAGAAATCTGGATTTAAAAGATAATTAAGAAGAAAATCTTTAATTTTACGTTTATATATAGCTTGAAAAAAATGTTCCACAAAAAAAAGAAACAAAAGCACACTGAAAGAATATAAAATAAATAAATATTTATTTCAATACTGCCTAATAAATCATTTATTTGAAACAAATAAATATCGATCTGTTTTGAAAAGGATTTTTTTATATGAAATAAATATTTTTCACATCAAATCAATATTATTAGTTTGAAATAAAAATGATTGATCATATTTCTTTGTCAGTGGCATAGAAAAGACTCAATGATAGAGAAGAAGTAACATCGTACCATGTCATGACTTCCGTTGATCGACGCGTCGCGAATGTCACGATGTCTCACGTGAGGGGCAGAGTCTGATGATCCTCCACGAAGCTGCTCGGCACATCCAGCAGATTGCCGCGAGGAAGCGGAGAGTGAAGAAGAGCGGCCTCCCCATCGACGTCAAGCTCGGTCGCATCACCGTTTATGGGGGCACCGGCGCCGCCGTTATTTCCGCTCAGTTCGCGCACATTTCCGGGCAAATAGTCTTTCCAGCTTCTGAACAGATATCTGGTGAACTTCCTGAGCTGCCGGAATTTGCAGTACGTGGCGCCCTCCGCGGATTCCAACTGCTGCGTCTGAATGAGGAAGCCCTTCTCCTTAAAGGTCTGCTCCAGCTTCTCGCGCTGCAGAGACTTCCTGGTCTTCCTCTTCCGCCGTCCGTCGTCCTGGCTGGCTGAGCTTCTCTGACACGTTATGGGGGATTGGATCCTCTCGCCGGCGGCGCTGAGGAAGGCTCCGGCGGCGGAGGTCGCTCCGGACTGACCCGCCGGTTGCTGAAGAGCCTCTCTGGGAAAAACTCGTAGCCGCGCATACTCTTATCGCCGGTGCCGCTGTAATAGCGGAAATTACCGCCCGAGTCCACCGAGAGACTCTTCTTCTCCTGCAGGCTGGGCTTGGCGCCGCCGGTGAATTTGAACTTGCATATACTCACTTCCGTCGCCGGATTATTGTTGTTCTCGGCCGGGATCGGTGGTATAAATATGGCGGAGCGCTTCCGCTTAGTCGGCTGACTCTGCGGTTGACTTAGAGGAGCGTTCCTCTTCGGTCTGGGCGACGGCGGAGCGCGATCGACGTCGACGTCGACGTCGGCGTCGTCGTCGTCGTCGTTGTCTGAGAAGCAGGTATACTTGACGCCGATACTTGAGGTACGCTCTTCGTCTCCATCATCGAATATATCGACTTGGGCACGATTTTCTGCTCCCTCGGCGGCTGATCCGTCGTCGGCCGCGGCGAGCCCTTGTCACCTTGGGCGACCTTCTGATAATACAACAATTGGGACTGCAAGGCCATCGGGTGGATGAAGACGCCAGTATTCGGCCAATACACGAAGCCAGAGTTGTGGCCGATCGTCGGATCGATCACGTTATTATTATGATTAACGAGACTGTTGTTGGAACGATGAACCATCGAGTCCGAGTAATTGACCGGTTCCGATAGAAAAGAGCTTCCAAGACACTCCACCTCTTCGCCATCGCTGGACGTCTCGCTCTTCATCTGGCCGGATTCGTAGACGTTTCCATGCTTCCGCAATAAGCGAATCTTCAGCTGATTGAGATCTCGGATGCAGAGATTCAAAGGCTCGTCCTGCTCCCGTGTATTCTCGGACAGCGTGACGAAGCTTCGTCGAGTCTCCTGCGTCAGCCGTTTCTCCAACAGACTGCTGATTCTGTTCTGCACGTCCGTTCTCTGAAAGGGCACGTGAGGCGACACTCGGTCCTGAGAATCCTGTTTCTCTCGGGGCGACAGTCTTCTCTCCTCGTGGCCGGGCGTACCCGGCAGTATGGTGCCGTAATTCTTGTAAATCAAATGGCAGATGTCGGCCTTCTTCGGCTTTCGGCCGCGTCTAGGCTTGCTATTGTCGAGGGTGATCTCGCCCATGTAGGGAAGATCGGAATACTTCATCGGCGGCCTGCTGGACGTCTGCGACTGCGTTTGCTGGGCGTGATTATGGGAATACGGCGCGTTGGAGTAGACCTGCGAGGACGTGGATGTGATGACGGATCTCCTGGTGTTGGTCACTTGATTGTCGCGGCCAGGAGTCGGACAGAGCTCCTGCTGCATCGCCGCGATCCGCTGCAGCCAGCCGTGGGTGTCCGCGATGGGACTCGGGGTGGACGTCGAACTCGTCGGCGCCGGGCTGGGTGCCGCCGGTTCGAGGACGCTTCGCGGCGGCGACGAGTTCAGATTCTCCTGGGCCAGCGACGCCTCATAATGGTCCAAGTATTCCGGCGGGAGCGCCTGATGATGGAACTTGAGCTTCCATCGCGATTTTCTGCGACCACGGCTATAACATTTAGATGTACACGATTTTTTAGTTTAATATATTCTCACATCCACGACGTAGATCGTCACGTGTATTCTCGAGAAATTGTTCCATTAATATATAAGATTTTTTATTTTCTATTTCAATCAAACTGACTATATGATTTTGTTAAATTGTACACTACGTTACGACCATCGGTTTTGGTCCTTTTCAGACATGAGTGAGCGCTTTTCAAAGTCGGTCTATTAAATATTTTATAATGTAAATTCTATAATATACTTAACATTTATAATGTGCTCATAAATATTAACCATAAAGATCTGAACGTTATGTAAAAGAAATCAAAGCTTACAAGACTGGTTAAAATAAAAAATAAAAAACTCTAGAAAATGATGTATTAAAGTCGGAAATATATTTTTGAAAGTTGCTTTGAATAATTATCCCACCAAGCAATATTATATATGTTTAATATTATCCAGAAAGAATCCGTATTTAAACCTGCGCTCTCACAGCAGTTGTAATATATCTTTTCTTCATTAACACCGATGACTGCATTCCGGACCACACCTTAGTGCAGTGCTAGGTGCTTTATACTTCGCGATACGCCACCTTATGCGCAGAGAATGCATTTCGCGCTTCCTCTGCTCTTGCTCGGGCCGTTTAATGAAATTCAATAATAACGGTGATCTCTCTCGCCGGCGCGTCTCGTTGACGTATATCCGCGAATCCTTTTTTTCGCTCGTTCGCGCGCGTCTCTTTAGAAGAGACTTGCCCGAACCAGTTTCCTGGCGCCTGTCTTTCTTGCGAACGACGCCAGCGATGATCGTTTAAAGCACTTTCCTGGCCACGAGCGGCCGGTTCTACGTTAAAGACGTCGTTAGTGACATGGCGAAGGAAAGATACGAGATAGCCGGAGCTGAGGATCGCGCTACGTGACAATGTAAGCCGTCGCGAAACACGTTTCTCAAATGCAATATAAAATTTGTTCAAAAGGGCGAAAATACTTCAATCGTTGTCTACATATGAACGTGAATATCATTAATTTGATATATTAATCTTGGTGGTTGCAAGAAAGTTTTGTATCATTTTATCTCAAACGCAATTATCCTATTTCTAACCACTTCTGTTTATTAAAATATATTATGCGCAAAAAAAAGAAGTTAAGAAAGATTAATATTATAAATCACCTGGATCGTCCTCGGTTATTAGCATCTGAAACTAACATTAAATTCTCCTCCAATCCTTGAATTTGATGATGACCGACTTGCTGTCCGTGCTTGTTGTCCACCGAACCCGCGACGTTGATCGCATCCACTTGCGGACTATCGAAATCACAAGAGATTTTTCTCAATTAAATTCTCAATTTAAACTAAATCATTGTTATTATAAAATTGCTATAATTTTTCCGCGAAAAAAGGCGTAATAAAACGTCAACATTATAATATATATATACGACTGAAAAACGAATAAATATTCCTTGCATTATTCAATATATGATTTGTCATCTGGAGAGTTAAAAAATAGAATTGATGCGTCATGCTAGACTTTCAAAGAGAGATTTACAACTCACCTCAACGTGCTCGTGTCGCGACTTCGCTCTTCCTCCTCCTGGGGCTCTTGCTTGACGGCCATGTGGATCACGGGCGGTAACGGACAGCGTAAATGCGACGAGTGATGCAAATGATGCTGCAGACCAGCGCCGTCGATGAGACTGCTGTCTATGCCAATAGACTGTGCACGCGGCACGACTTCCTCAGTCTGCATAGTGCCCCCTGAAAATTCAAATATGCGGACCGCTGTCAGAGTTTATCCCATTTCGCATCACTCGGCAATACTCTTTTAGATGTAAAACGAGAAAGTCCCACGCGCGAAAATATTATTTTCTCGTGTATGGCTTATTAGCGAACGGTTTACGAAACTTTCCGGTTTTGAGTATATACTCGATTTCAAAAGCTTGTCTCTAATGTTGGAATTTTTAAGTCCTGCATCTCGCATATACATACATATGCAAATATTATATTAATATTTCGAAAATTATCATCGAAAATTATCATTATAGATTGACACAAGTTTTAAAAGCGACGTTTCCAAATCGAGTTCTCAACTTCATTAATTATTAATGAAGTCGTAACACATTCGGCTTTTTTTTTTAATTTTGACAGAACGAAAAAAAAAGAAAGAAAAACGAGATCGGAAGTGACCGCCGTGCGAACAGCTTCCACTTTCTTATTTCGGCATGCGAGAACCACGTGAAAGGTTGTGCGTAGGCCGGCGTCCAAGCCGGAGATCGTTGCCGGTGTGTTGCGAATTGCGGAATATTCATATATAACCATACTGTATTAATGAGCGTTGGATTAATGCCGCGTGCGGCGCGCGGCGAATTGCGTGTTGCATAGATTTGACGGGCGTGAGAAATGACGTAGAGACTAAACAAATGCTTCGCGTAGAAATGGATAAATCGATAAAGCCGCATATGATATAGCCGTCGTTGCACCATCGAGAGCGAATCGCGTGGGCGAACCGCGTGTTCGTTCAAGGCTTCGAAATCGCACAATAGCAAACCGCGAACGTTTACGAAGCGAGAGAGATTCGCTTTAGAACACCTCGTGTGAAGCGGCTCGTCTCATTCGACAGACACCTGTTGCACCTCGTTGAATAATTCATCAATTCGAATTTTGAAATTCGCTGTATCGTCGCTGTAATATAAAATTTATACGATCGTAATTATAATTCGAAATAATTATCACATAGTATCATTCGCACAGTAGATTTTCAAGATGTACGGCTACTTAAGATAGCCGCATTATTTGATTTAGATATAAAAAAAATTGCACAGTACACATATAAGAGAAATTTCAAATGTTAAACCAAAAATTATATTTTTATAGGTACATCACAATCTGTCACTAAATAATATATATATATATATATATATTATTTAAATCTAATATATAAAATTTTATATATAACTTATATAACTTTAATAATAACAATGTGAAAATTCATGGGTCAACGAAGCAAAGATATCAAAGCCGTATCGATGTCGGAAAACTATGCGCATGAAACAAACTAAAAGAAGGAAATGCGGAGAAGACGAAGAAATGTATTATACATACTGCGACTTCGCAGCACATCGTCGGATAAAAATATGCCCGTGCATAAATAGAACACATACCGGACACACACTCCGGTACGGTACACTCAACACCCGCAATTTCTGAGCCATACTTGGTCTTAATTGATCAAGTTTCATGTCTTGTGATAAGTCGGTTTGTCACTGATTCAGTTTGCAATTTATTTTAAAATAAATACAGAACGAACTTGCATATTTGCATAAAAATAAATGTGTTAATTCATTTGCATATATTTTAAATAATGCTGCGAAAGTAACTTTTAAAAAATACATTTTCAAGAAATATTAAGTACTGTTTTAAAAATTTTAAGATTCTCAAATTGTATGTTTAAAATTTCTAAGAGAAAAAAAAAGAGATTCTTCCTCTAAAGATGTATGTATGTAAATTATAAAGACTTTATAGTGCGTTTAAATTGCAAAATTATAAGAATATGAAGAAACCCCTGAAATGATCTAATTTTTAATGGTTTTCAAAACACAAAAAGTTCCGCATAAACGAGCGCCAAAAGGAAAGACTAGCGGAAGATATTAATATCGATATGTGAGGGAGGTGGCTCGTTTTCATTGAAGACCAGTTATAGAATGATGCAGGCGAACGCGTAACTACAATTTATTTTTTGGTTATTTTTAGCGGTTGGCGTACAGCCACTATTTTCGGTTCTCTCAAATTTCTCACTCCATATTTAGGATTATGGCTGATGGTATCATGCCGCACTTTTGCTTTTGATTGCTGAAGCGCATTTGTTGTGCACGTTTGTATATAATCACATAGAAACTTCGAATATATTATCTAGAATTAATTAATTTAAAATGTCAACCAAAAAGGCAACGTTCTTTTCAGAAAAAGATTGTAGACGCAAGTCATTTATAAAACATATTTCCGTCATATTTTCCCCATTTACAATATTCATGATAAAGATACGAAAGATTTCGAAATAGCCTCTCAATAAAAATTATTATTATTATTTTTCTCATCTTCCCGGTAATATTGCGTCAAAGTAGTATTCACACAGATATAACAAGTGGACGAATTAGAACGCATATTTGTTTCGCGGGAAAGCATGTGCTCTCGCGTTCTATTGGCAGAGGCGCAACTAGGTTAAAAACGGAAAGTCAGTCGCGATACTCGAGAATGTGTCAAGGTGATGTAATGATTAAAGAAAAAATTTTTTTGGACAATATTTTTTTACACTGAAATATAAATATGCCAAAATATATTCTCGATCTCATTATTTACCATTAATAAATCTTATTAATTCGCTCATACATAAACGCGTCGCATAAATCGAGTTGCTTACGCATTACATGTGCATCGAGTGGACCATGATCCACTAGCCTGATTATGATTTGCCGTTATTATAGATCCGTAATTACATATAAACATCCACGCGACAGTGTAGTGTCCCACGTGGACAGCAGCTGATCTATCGTAAAACTATTCGTAAAAGATTTGTCGATCGGAGCAATCTATTATTATTTGTATCTTTTCAGGAGAGATCATCAAATTTTCGATAACTCGCGAACAAGCGCAAAGATGATTTTAATTAATCGAAATTAGCACGTCTTTGAAAGCTTTATTACTATTAGAGAAGCTGTCACCCAAGAAAAAATTGCATGATTGTACCTAAAGTGATATATATGATATTGTTATTGAAAATTCGAGGTCGATCACTGATCGATTACCTGTGACGGGAAAGGTGCTTTCCGGCAACATGAACGTTTTCTCAGCGAGTCTTCTTTCCTGAGAGAATGAGAGAAAAGCACGCGTCTTCTACTTCAAACTTCGATTTTCGCGCACGAACGATTCACCATCGAACCGGATGATACGACGATCATCGTCGAGCACAATCACAAGACCTCGATCAATTACTTTCGCTCAATCGACTCGTTCAATGATTCGCAATCGCCCACGCGATCGATTCTTCCCTCGCGTGGTCTCTTGGCAAACAGTATCGAGAGATACGTTCAATTGAAATCGAAGATAGAAAAAGAAGGAGAGAAGAGAAGGACGAGAAATGCCGAGCACGTGGATGAACTCTCTTCCTCCCAGATGAAAAGAGGAACTCGAGGGAACTTTGCGAGGAAAATGAGAAGGCGGCGGGTAAATAAAAAAAAAAAAGAAACGAGAGGCAGAGAGAGAGAGAGAGAGAGAGAGAGAGAAAGAGAGAAAATGGGGCTGATAGAACGAAGTGAAGCGTTTTGAGGCACTTTTGGCACTGTTACGAGCGAGAGTAAAGTGGACAAGAGCGACAACTCCACCGAGAGCGACGTCTATACCTCCGTCGAGGGAACCGGGGGGAAAACGTCGACGACGATGACGATGACGACGACGACGACGACGACGACGAAGACGACGAAGACGACGACGACAACGACCAGGCCTCCACAAGAGGAGCAAGTGGAGGCGCGGGCGTGTATATTCTCGATTTGGGCGGATGGAAATCTGAGATTGCTCCATATTGGGCTGTGAGTCGCGGCTACGGAGGTGCTCTGTAATAGCAGAGCTCGACTTCTTCCCTCTCTTTTTCGACTCTCTCACTCTCTATCTTTCTCTCTTCTTCTGTATGCTGTACACTTCTTCTTCTCCTCTCTCTTGTATTTCTCCTCGCTTCGACGAGCGCGCATATGTTTGTACGTGCATATGTGTGTCTCTCTATCTTTTTCATTCCATTTTCCTCTCTTTCTCTCTTTCTCTCTCCTTTCCCTCTCTCGATCTACCACGGCACTCTGTATATGATGCGACCAACGAGGGTATATTTAACCCCGCGAACCACCAACGAGGAATCGAGCCGCGCGCGCAAGCCACTTCTCGTACTTGGTCCTCCTCTTCTTCTTCTTCTTCTTCTTCTTCGCCGATGCTCGTTACATCCCGCGACTACTTGCGAAACGAGTTAAACCTCCTTCACTGTTTCGCAGATTTATTTTTCCGTTTGATTAATGGAGCTGAGAAATTATGATATACAAAAGAAGGAGCGATCGCGAACGAATTGTTCAATTTAATTAAAAGCTTTTTATTTTCGGGGCGCATTTCGGCTGGCGGACTTTTTTCCACCGCTCGAGTAAATTAAATTTCATTTAAAGTTACATTTGCTTACGTAATCATAAATTGCAGCGCGCACCTGTCAAACATCTCAAGTCATCGAATCTGAATCTAAAATTCTTCTACGCTATATAATTTGTTTTCTCTCCGCTATAATCTTACTCTCAGGATACTGGATCTAGAAGACACTAAAAACTGTAACCGTATAACGCGTAATACTAAAACGAAACGTTACGCATTCTTCGGAATACGCTGCCCTCTTGATTTCAGAAAAAAATACTGGAATAAACGACTCCATTAACTGACGCGTATCCGAAAGAAATCGTTCCGGAGGAACTTCGCGATTCAATCGAATATCCCGCGTGCGTGTGTGTGTGTGTACCATACTCCGGATAACAGAGCCGTCTACCCGGCAGAGTACATCGACGAGGATATACCAACATCCACGTAACCGGCCGCACACCAGCAGACCGCAATAAGTGCGCTAACGAAGAGACAGCGTAATCCGGCATAACGCGCTATCTCTCGAGTTAATGAGCCTTGAAGGCTGCTCCTTCGTCGGAGAAGGAGGCTTCAGGTTTCCCACAGTGGCGCACCGGATGACGGAGCCGAGTCCATCTCTGCGTAATGTACGCAATTTATCGCGCTCGCGTTATACAAAGTGGCGAACGCGCGTTTCCGTTGGATCATTGCAACATACATATAAATATACATATATACGCGCGTATGCATTTTCATTTAACGCGCGACTCGGGAAAAAAAAATGGATTACAGTCCAACGGGGACTGACGGTGCGCAGCGACCTGGAAAGGTACGAACTGAATTAATGAGATCATTGAAAAAATCGAGGAAAAAGTTACGATACTGAGTTACGGCTCAGGCTTTTTCGAGACTGTTTTTACACCTCTCTCTTCTCTTATCACTTTTTCGCTTTCACATATAAGTGCCGTCAGTGTTGGGTAGTACCTAGATATATGTTGTGTATCTGAGTCTGTAGCTGAGATATATTCGAATTGAAGTATCTATATCTGAATCTAGGTACAAAACATGGTATCTGAATTGCTTTTTTCAGATATATTTTCATCATATTTTTTTGAATAGTCAAATTTTTTAAATTTTGAAAAGATCAAGAGTGCAACTTAGCAACATATTGTCATCAACACTGGTTGAGCGATTATTAAGCATTGGTCAAATTTTAGTACCATGGCGAAATAATTTGAGTGACGATATCTTTGAGGCATTTTTCACGCGTTAGACTAACGAATAAAATCGTAATATAAACACAAATATTAATGAAGATGAAAGAATTATTTAGTACATTTTATGCATATTACCATTAGTATGATAAAATATAATTTAAAAGTATGTGATATGTATCTGAGATACTTTTAAAGTATCTGAGTAATTTATATACATTTTAATTTGTGTATCTGTATCTGTATCTAGATATATTTTTTACCCGTCACTGAATGCCTTAAAAAATTATAATTATTCCGGATTATCTCTTTTCTCGTATTGAAATTAAATGTCATATTTCTTGATTACTTTAAAATAGAACGATGAGGAAGAATCTTTTGAATGGTGAGATAATTTTTATTTAAAAATAAAAAATGCGCGAGAAAAGCTATATATCATAAATGAAAAATGGCACGCTATACTCGTAGTTTTTTTGAAAAATGACAGTTCCGCGCAGTAGAAGGACTTGTGAAAAATATTATTCCAAGAGAAGACTTGTCAAGTATCTCCTTGAAGAATACCTTCCTCCTTTCGTTGTTGCGTTTGATTAACGAACGGTCGGGAGATTATCATTTATTTACAGTGTTATATTGTTCCGAGAATCAAGCTATTGAAAATGTCACATATTATCGTGCCGTAAAAAAAAAAATAAATAAATAAAAATAAAAAAAACCGACATGGTGTCAGCGAGCACGCGCTGCCCGAGAATTTAAAACGCCATTCTACAAACGTGCCGGATTAAAGCGCGGAGCTGTGCGGAACGCGGAGTTGAAAGTAGTTGTTGACATATCGTAGCCAGGTATTGGAACACGTCGGGCAAGTAGGCGGGTTGGTTTAACCTATACGGGATATAATATGCGCCTCCGCAAGAGATGTGGACGCGTCAGAGACGGCAGTCGCGTAAAATATCAACGCACATCGCGCGTGAGGAAAATATACCAACACAATGGGCGACATGTTCATCGTCGACTTGCCAACTATTTGTTACTTGGAACTTAACATTTGTATATCGCCATTTAATTATCAACAATGCAAATGCCAGCAGTGCGCGTCTTGCGTAAGACGCGGCCTAGATAAAACTCAGACGTATTCCATCGTATTCCTGAACGTATACGAGCGGAAGTACGCTTCGACGACGCTGACGAAACTGCGCGCGTGGGTGACAATTTTGCCGTTGACGATTAGTTACCATAGACATCTCGACGTCGGAGGCAAGCTTCATCGGTTCTCGATAGACCGTAACGAAATGCGAGAGACGTATTCTCGTCTCGGACTCGTCGGTGCAAGCGTGGAGAAAACGCGTTTGTTTATCTCGGGAATAAGTAATGAAGTCAGTTTGAATCCTTGACGCGCTTGATTGCAAAAATATAAACCCTACTCGATTATTACTTCAACGGTAAAATCAACAACGTTCTTGATTGAGAGCGTATATTTATTATCAGGGTTTTAACAAGTTCGAGGAAAGAAGTGTTGTTGGAGCAAGTGATCGCAATTTGATCGAAGACTCCGGGATAAGGAGACGATAATGACTTTCCCAATTTATCCCGAACTTCGTGCACGAGTTCGAAATTCATCTTTGAGTAATCACCGTCGTTAACATCGTTGCTTTTATAGGGTCGTTAATCACTGTCGTTGCCCATAGTAGGCGATAAATAATTACAAAATATGCAGCTCGCTGCTCTCGCGAGAGCATAATGCGAGAGCCCTGACATATGTGAGAGCCCTCGACGGAACATATGTACGTACGTTGCTCAGCTTTCGAAATGTGACGCGAGGTAAATGTGATTCAGCTAAAAACTTAGAACTTAGCGCAGTCTTCGTGGTATATCCGGAGAGGAGAAAACGAGAAAGAGATTTCTCGAGAACGATGATGGGCCACCTTACAGCTAGTCCAATTGGATCGCCCACGCGGTAAAAATCTGAAAGGAATATATGGCTGCCACTAATACCGTTAAATTGCCCGGTGCGCCTTTTACGAATTATTCAATTATACATCTCTCTTAATTTGGCAATGACGCAATTCATAAGCAGCTCCGTAGGCGGTTTCCATTGAAAAATGCATAGCAGTTCAATCCATTCCCAAATATCTTTTGCTCATTAACTGCAGTTCACATTGATTAAAAACAAATGTCAAGTCATTCAATGAAAGTTAGTTATTATATAAATAAGTTTCTACACTTTTAATCAAATGTATCTGTATTAAATACATTATTGATCAATGGCAACATTGAAAAATATTGACATTGGCATAGAAACGTTACCTACATAATGTGCATATAATTTCTAAGAAAAATAATATTTTTTATTTGTTAAAATCAAAATAATATAAAACAGTGTATTATTCATATTAAATATTAATATATCTCTATATATTTAATTACATTGTAATTTTCATAAAATTGCTGTAGAAACACACTTTGTTCAATAATCATAATTTTTAATTGAAAATCTTTAGCTACAAAATGTGCAATATTTTTGATATACATTTATTAATTCTGGAAAGAATAAACTGTCATCGACATTTTCGCTAAATCTCTCATCTCTGAATCGATCGATTAAATCAATAGAAATTAATTAAAAAACAAAGACTATATACCTGGAATGGTTCTGGGACGTGCTGCATAAATTTAAATTGTCTATGACATTCCCAGCAATCGCGTTTCGTAATAATGCAACACGCGTGATCACAAATGAGCAAAAGAAATTCTTTCTCAGCGAGTTAGAGATGCTACGCAACTGCATGCATTTATATAATGGAGAACGTGGCACCTTTCGCGCAATATATCCACATTTTTTAGTTTTACAGATCTTAGGAACGAGCAAAAAAAAATGAAAATTGTAAATCGAAAGCGAATGGGCGCCGATAACAATCCCGCCCGAAGAAATAGCCGCAAGAAATGATTCGATAAATACAAATCGTTCGTCAATCGGGAACTTTGATTGGCTGGTTTATTGTAAAACTTGGCTAATGCGTCCCGATGTGCGAAAACGACGTGCTTTGGAGAACGAATGGAGAATGTTCGCCCACTATTCCCTACC